ATTGTGAGTCTCAAAAAATTTTAAAAAAGGCTAGGATATAGCTCACTGGTGGAGTACTCCTGGGTAAAATCCCTACTAATACACACACACAGAGACACACAAAAAAAAGGCAGGAGCTGTAGCTCAGTGGCAGACCACTTGTCTGGCACATGTGAGGCACTGAGTTCAATCCTTAGCACCACATAAAAATACACAAATAAAATAAAGAAATGCTGTCCATCTAAGAATAAAATAAAATAAAATAAATAAGTAAATTTTTTAAAAAGCAGAAAGAAAATCTAGAGGCCAGAGAGAGGGAGCAAAATAAATGTGACAAAATTTTGAAAAGGCCAACCAAGAATTGTTTTAACCAGCAAAAATGTACTTTAGGCATGAGGGGGTAATCAAGACACTCTTTAAATGAAGGAACACTAAGAAAATTTGTTACCAGCAGACCTACTTTGCAAGAATGGCTAAAGGAAGCCAGGCATCATGGCACATACCTATAGTCCCAGCTACTAGAGACTGAGGCAGGCTTGAGGCCAATCTGGGCAAGTTAGCAAGAACTCATCTCAAAAAATAAAAAGGGCTTGGGATGTAACTCAGTGGTAAAACACCTTTGGGTTCAATACTCAGTAACAAAAACATATATATATATATATATATATACACACACACACACATACACACAAACTGGACTTCAAAATTAAAATTAAAAGCGATTTACAGGGCTGTGGTTGTGGCTCAAAGGTAAAGTGTCCACCTAGCATGTGTGAGGCACTGGGTTCAATACTCAGCACCACATAAAAACAAAATAAAGGTATCATGTCCACCTACAAATAAAAAATAAATATTAAAAAAAAAGTCACGTACAAAAGACCCCATTAAGAGGGCAAAAAAAGAAATGATGAGCTACAGACTGGGAGAAAATATTTGTAAACCACATATCTGACAAAAAACTTAAGTATGAAAGTGAGGCCAGAATTAGACAGGCAGTCAGTGTAGATAGGTAAACTGAGTCAGGTCAGATCAAGGAGGCCAATTTTGAGTGAGTCTGGGAAGTTGGAGACTGTCCCCTGAGGCATCTTATCAAGAACCTGCCCCAGCTCCAACCTGTTGCCAAGGCAACCTGTCCCAGGAATTTCCCCTCCCTACAGGGAGCTATAAAGTTGTTAATGTGTCCTTGGCTAATCCACCCAGCCCTTCCCCCTTCAGCCCACCTGTTTCCCACCTTTTCGGCCTTCCCACCAAGCCTTTACTGGGCCTAGTCACATATGCAGGAAGGAGAAAAGATAAGGGGGAAAAGGCAGGAGAACAAAGGAAGTCTAGGACATATAAAAGGGTAGAACACCTCTCTTCTTGGGATACCAGGATACCAGCTATGGCCCCCTTCTCCCTCTGGGGAGGGGAGAAGTCTATGTTACCAATTTTTAAATAAACCCTGCTTCATATGCTTGCCTTGGCATGATTCTCTAATGTTCAAACTTCAACATGTGGGAAGCAGAACTGTCAAAAGGAACTCTCAAAACTCAACAGTTTAAAAAATACAGTTAGAAATGAACAAAGGATGTGGAGAGGGAGCTGGGGTTGTGGCTCAGTGGTAGAGCACTTGCCTAGCATATTTAGGCACTGGGTTCAATGATCAGCACCACATAAACAAATAAAAAGGTGTTTTGTCCATCTACAACTAGAAATTTTTTAAAAAAAGGGATGTGGAGAGATATTTCACCAAAGAGGATAAAGAGATGATAAAAAAGCATATTGTCAGATCAGACAAGGCAGGCAGCGGCCAAAGAAGGCAGATTTAAAAGGGCCACTGAACAAGCTTTATTGAGATAATCACTCCTGGGCAGAACTAGATCAGACCCACAGAGGGGACAGGAGAAGGGTCTGAGGAGAAATCGCGTGGAAGCTCAATCGCACTGGACTTTCATGGGGCTTACAGCAGGAAGGGAAGGGCTTGGGACAGGAAAAGGTGTCTCTAGGGTCCCTTGCCCCCTTGGAGTTGGTCAGGGGAGTTGGCTGAACTCTAGGATTGGCCAGGGGGCCCTGCTGATTTACAGGCGTTAGTCAGGAGATCTGGCTGATTGACAGGAGTTTCCGCTGGCATCTGATGATGTTCAAAACAGCGCGGGCTGCTTTGTTCTAAGTTGCCACTAAGTCGCCACCAACCTAACATTCCAGCCTTTTTGGTGATACAGGGCGGCAAATTTCGTCTGGCTATTTCCTGCTTGTTTAGGGGCATCGTGGGAGGAATGGCTTGGAAGTAGGTATGGTGGGGAGGCGACTGTAGGGGTGAAGGCCACCGAACTAATACATATGACAAGATATTGCACATCACTAGCCATCAAAAATACACACTCACCTGATTCTTAGTCATTTCTTCTTCTGAGGAAAAGACAAATTCAGAGATCTATTAAGTAGGAGCTGAGGGAGGTCTGGGACTATGAGACTGTAAGGAAAGGAGAAATAATACAAAGGGAGACAAGAGAGATAAAGTTGATCTCAGGTCTCTGGCTGGTGATAGTTCAGCAGTGTCTCTCACATCTCCCTAAAGGATCAAACTAGAAGTGTCTTCTCATAAGAAGAAGGGGAAGCTAACAGGTCACCAGTGCAAGCCAGAGAGACCCACTTGGTTACAGCCCTAGCCTCTGTAGTGCTGACTGACTTGATCCTAAAGAAGCGGGATTGGCAGAACACCTTGCCTCTTGGGATGCCAGGAAACCAAAAGATTTTCTGTAAAAGGCCAGGTAGTAAATATTTTAGAATTTCCAGAACATTTGCTTTTTGACAACTATTCAACTTTGTCACTGTAGCATGAAAACAGTCACAAAGAGTATGCAAATAAATGGGTATGGCTGTGACCCAATAAAACTTTATTGTTAGACACTGAAATTTGAATTTCATATAATTTTCAGGCTTGCTGACCCCTGATGTACATCTTAGATAAGGAAGTTTTAAGGCAGTGTGCATACAATAGTCATTTAATACTAGATTTACAATGCAATGACCTTCCTTAGATCCATAAATTCTACTTCTAGAAATTTATCACCATGAAACAATCATACTTGCACACAAAAATCTGAAAACAAAGACTGTTATCTGATCCTAGATAATAAAAAATTTTTAAAGTTGGACACATTTAAATTTCCAATAAAGGGAAGTGACTCAAACATCTGAGGCCATCTGAAGGATAAGATACTATGCATCTGTGTCAACAATTATTATGTGGTCTTGTGATGGATGGCAAAACCAGATCTGGTTATGAAATGAAATTATAAGAATACTATCATCGGCTGGGATTTGGTAAAGGCTTGCCTAGCACGTGTGAGGGACTGGGTTCAATTCTCAGTACTGCAAATAAATAAGTAAAATAAAAGTCCATTGACAACTTAAAAAAGTATTTAAAAAACACTATCATGAAAAAGTAGTGCCTGGGGAAAGGGTGAGTTCCTCTACCCTTTCTTTCAGCCCTCCTTCAGGAAACCTAAGCAAGCATAGGCCCCTACCTTTTGGGTTGTAAATAACTACCTCTAGGAATTTAACAACTCCCCATGGAAGTATAAACACCCTTACTGAGGCTTGGAGCATAAGGCTAGAGATTTATCAGAGGCCTGTGAAAAGAGCCAGTTTTTGCCCTAATTAATCACTTTCTGCTTCTATAAACAGGCTTCCCACTAGAAACCCCCTGCAGGGCCTTCTATCATGTAAACTAGAAATTTTATGGCACCAGATTGCCTATAAAGGTTGTGAGAAACTGGGGATGGGGGCTCAGAATTTGGAGTTTGATCTTGTCTGGGCCCACCAGCGTAAAAAAAAAAAAAACAAAATTTGGCCTGTATTAGATATGGAAAACAACAAACCCCAAAATCATTATATGTAAGAAAAAAAGAAGTGAGAAAGTCATAAATTAAGAGCATTGATCCTTTTCCAGTACATTCTTTCCCAATGATAAAACAAACCCTGGGGAGGAGTGTTAGACCAGGATGCAAGAAAAGACCACTGACTCCAATTAAAATCAAATTAAAGCAAGTTTATTATTTCGACCGGCCGGGCTGCCTCTCCCTCCCAAAACGGTGGGAACAAGACAGCCCCCCACCTTTCCTACAGCCCAGCTTTATAGCCCAGAAAGTTACACAAAAGGGGGGTTACAGATAACAGAACTCTGACAAGCATCACACTAATGGTAGTTTACATTTTTTTTTTTTTTTGCTGGCCCCAACATCAGAATTTATGAGGACCATTAGAGCCTCAGAGAGAGTCGTTGTCTGGCCAGGGAAGGCCAATATTTATGAGGTGTCACTAAAGTTTCAGAGAAAGCTGCTATCTGGTCAGAGAGCCAGGCATGGGTGAGTTCAAGGCACGGGCAGGCATTCCAAGCAGGTTCAGAATTTGCAGTAATTTATAGTAAAGCCGAAATTATCTTTTCATGGCTTTGTGACAAGATGGCTCCCAATTTTGAGAGAAAATCAGGTTGGGTCTATCAAGGAGGAGTCCATCAAACCTAAAAAGGAAGTCTCTGGGAAAGGGCTAAAGCATTAAATCCTTCCCTAAACAAACCCTTTCCAGATACCAACTACTGACCCCAAGCCCTCCATCTGGCCCAGCAAGATAAATCCCAGAGACTGACTACTGAGGCCACACTCCTTCCCATTTCGCCTAGTAAAACAGACCCCCAAAAACTGACTGCCCAAGCTGACACACTCATTAATTCACTTCTCAGGATAACCTACATATGCCCAGTCCCTTTCTTTGTTCAGTGGCTCATTTTCCACAAAGAGAGTGGGTCCATCAGAACCATACTCACCACCATCAGAACCATGATTCCATTTCTGAATAAAAGAACTGAGCTGATTTGTGAAGTTTCCATCCATCCTGGTCTTTCTGCACTAATAGCTGGGAGTGGTGGTGCACACCTGTAATCCCAGCAGCTTGGGAGGCCAAGGTAGGTGGATCAAGAGTTCAAAGCCAGCCTCAGCAAAAGCAAGGCACTAAGGAACTCAGTGAGACTGTCTCTCGGCTGAGGATGTGGCTCAGTAGTTAAGTGCCCCTGGATTCATTCTTCAGTACCAAAAAAATAAACTAAGTTTGAATTCTTCCACTCTCTGAGTATCATTTGCTGCTTCTTGACTGGTCCAGTTCCCACAACATTCTGGAAAGAAAGCAAATGTAGTTAAATATTAACAATTATTGAATTTTAGAGAAGGCTCTATGGGTATTCACTGTAAACTGTTCTGTAGGTTTAAAGTGTAAAATAAAGTTGGTATTATTATTATTATTATTATTATTATTGGAACTTGGGATTGAACCCAGGGGTGCTTCACCGACCTACATCCCCAGCCTTTTTTATTTTTTATTTAGAGACAGGATCTCACTAAGTTGCTTAGGGCCTTGCTAAATTGCTTAAGCTGGCTTTGAACTCCCCATGGAAGTATAAACACCCTTACTGAGGCTTGGAGCATAAGGCTAGAGATTTATGATCCTATTACCTCAGTCTCCCAAGTCGCTGGGATTATAGGTGTGCACCACTGCATCCAGCTAGTAATATCTTTAAGTTAAAAAATTGTGAAATATGTTAGTAGACTAGCAAAGACCCATCTCCCACCCATTTGAACTGTCTACAGTTCTCCTTGCCAAATAAAGATAATAAATGTTTCCTCTCTTCTCAAAGGAAAGTGATATAGATCAATTAGATAATATTTGTCTAACTACCAAGTGTTAGGAAGAACTTGACACTGGCAACACCATTTTGAAACAGCCTCCATCTTCCAACAAGAGTCACCTCAAGGTTACTCAGTCCAACCTTAAACCACAGACAATAGTCTATTATCATGCAAAGAAACCCCAAACAATATCCCATCATCATACCAAGAAAGGAAAACACTTGGTTCAAGGTGGAACAGTGACCACCTCAAAAAATGGAGGTGAGGACCTCCCTGACAGCCCCCTAGCAATGGCAGATGGGTCTCTGTCTCCAATAGGCCTCCTGCACAGGTTTGTCCCAAATAAACCTGTTTTGCTGTTGAGCCTCTTCTGTTTCCTTCATTTGCTTCTTTTCTTACATCAAGTGTCCTTTCCAACCTAAATGTAATTTTAGCCACATGTAACATGAGATTTACAAAAAAAAAAGAACTAAGTCTCAATGTTGCCTTTACAATCATCTTAAGAACAAAGAAAACCTCAATTTGCTTAAGTTTTTTTTTTTTTTTGGTAGTTGTAGATGGGCAGAATGCCTTTATTTTGTTTATTTTTATGGGATGCTAAGATTCGAACCCAGTGCCTCACACAAACTAGGCACATGTTCTGTCACTGAGCTACAGCCCTAACCCTTGCTTAAGTTTTGAATACTTGAAAAACAAAAAGTCCAATAAAACCTTGCTTTTACACACTGAATGCACAAATTACCCAGGAAAATTTACTTGTCAGGGGTGAGTGCTCTAGGGCCTACCATGCGCGAATAACATTTGGAGGATTCTAGCCTCTGGGTTCTCTTCCAGATTCAGGCCTTGACTTGCTGGATTAGGTCCTATCGTTTCCTAAGAAGAAAAACAAACGTATGCACTCAAGTATTAAAAATGCATTCAGAAAAAAACTGACACATTTAAATAAAAACATAGGAACCAATCCTAAGTAGAGCTTGCCGATCCTCAGTGGAGGACTTCAGTGACCCTCCTTTTCCCTTATTGAGGTGATTAGACACGGCGTTTTGTCAGTCTCCAGTTGAGCCTCAGTTATCAATTGAGAGCCACAGGGCTAGAGTCATTGAAGACGAATTTCAGAAAATTTGTCTCCGTTTAAAACCTTTTAAATGTTCATATTCATTCCCGTTACTGGAGTAAAATCCAAACCTGCCGTGTAAAAAACACCAACATCCAGAACAACAGATCACACGGCATATACGCGTTTCCTCACAGACTAGAACCATAACTAATTCTTGCCCGATTGTTTCTGAGAACTTACTTTTAAAATTATAAGCACTTCACTCCCTCGCCCTACCTAAGCCTGTGAGTTTTGCCTTCCCCAGAACCCGCCAAATCCCATTAAACTCCACCTCCACCTGCCACGCACCATCCCTACAGGCTCCACGTGCGGCTTTCGCAATCCCCCATTGGCCTACTTATAGACACAAGTCGGTGCTCGCAAACTCCTCTGGAGTCTTCCGTGATTTCCCCGGAGTCCGTAAAACCCCGCCCCTCTCCTCTTCCCTATGGCCTACTTCGGATAAGGAACGCCCCTCCCCACCTGGCTATTTGGTTGGCCAGCACGTTTGCCACTACGTCATTCACCCGCGCCACCCGGAAGCCGCTGTTCCTACCAACGTCTCTTATTGCCGGCGGCCCTAAGGTAAGGGCGGCGTTTGAGTGTCCCAGGGTAAACGAGTCCCTGAGTTGGGAGGGGCAGAAGGTGGACCCCCCAACATGAACCGCACGAGCCCAATCCCAACATTGAGAGGGTGGAGATAAACTATGTGTGAGGCAAAAATGAAGTGCTCAACGTGGTCTTCCCACTCCCAGGAGCCTATCATGGCGACGCCCCCTAAACGGCGGGCATTGGAGGCCACGGGGGAGAAAGTGCTGCGCTATGAGGCCTTCATCAGTGACGTGCTGCAGCGGGACTTGAGGTGAGTGACAGCCCGGAGGCGGGACGTTTCGAACTTTCCACGTGGTGGGTGGGGCGTTCAGAGTGAGTGCCAAGCCTTCGGATTGGTGGGTGAGGCGTTGGGAGCCCGGCCCTGTCACCTTTCTAGTGGGAAGTAGGAGACGACATCCGGGGTGCGATTTGGCTGGAACGTGGTGTTTGTAACTGAGACTGTATCGGCGCATGCGCGGGCTCTGATGCTATTTATTGAACTAGAGCTAAGTTTCCAGAATTAAGAGTTCTTGGGTTCTCGTCCTGGCTTGCGTGTTTTGCCATCGCTGTGAATACTTCTACTTCACCTCGTCTCTGTGCCTTATAAACTTTCCACATCTGTGAAATAAGGAAGTTTATGGAATCTTCTCATAGAGTGGTTTTGAGTTTCCAGTAGTTCACTGATGTGTCCTTATCGTCCCAGCTACTGGTGAGGCTAAGGCAAGAGAACCCCTTGAGCCCAGGAGTTTGAGACCACCCTGGACAACAGAGCCAGACCTCATCTCAAAAAAGAAAAATGTTGAGAGTACAAAAATAAAACAAATAGGCATTTTTAAAAAGGAATTAGTGTGGATGCCTGAAACACAGAGACTCAATGAGTATGAAGAGCTGTTATTGCTGTCATTAATCTGAACAGGAAGTAATGTTCAGAACTAGGATTGTATGATTGTCCTAAAAGGGAGTGAAGATTTTTTTCTGGGATAATGGGCCATTTTGATTGGCAGGAAACATTGACAGTAGAGTGTAGTAATACTAGTAATAAATAATAGCTAACAAGTATATAGTAGTTGCTATTTGGCAAGTGTTATTCTAAACACATTGTAATAAACAGTCATTCGATCCTAACAATTCTTACGAGGTAATACTGTCATCTCTATTTTATAAATGGACAAACTGAGTCCCAAATGGATTTCTTATTTGCCAAAGTTATGCAGCTAGTAAAGGATAGAGCCCAGATTCAAATGCAGGAAGTATCACCCAGTGTTCAAAATCCTAATTTCTGAGCTAAATGCTTGTTTAGGGCATGATATGTGATATCCCAAAAGCGAAAGAGCTTCCTATTGGTCACCATTGTATTTTCATCTTATCAGAAAGGTGCTGGATCATCGAGACAAGGTATATGAGCAGCTGGCCAAATACCTTCAACTGAGAAATGTCATTGAGCGCCTGCAGGTAAAGACTTCAGGATTGGATACCAGTTTGTGTGTTGTGGGGGAAGGAGATGGGAAGAGGGACCCCAGACCAAAACTTGTCACCTGGCCTAAAATTTGACCACTGATCCCTACCTCTTTTTCCCTGGCCCCACAGGAAGCTAAACACTCGGAGTTATATATGCAGGTGGATTTGGGCTGTAACTTCTTCGTTGACACAGTGGTGTGAGTGTGTACCCGCCCCTCTGAGCCCACAGGGTTCAGCTTACCCCTTCCTTCACGCAACAAATATTTTTTTCAAATCTTCTACATACCAGACACTGTGCTAAGTTTTATATTACATAAGGATATAAGCTAGGTGTTGGGGATGTGTCAGTGAATAAAACAGGACAAGATCCCTGCCCTTCCAGAGCCTCAATTTGGGGAAGGGAGGGAATAGGAAACATCTTAAATAAACTGTGTGGTATGCTAAATCATAATAAGTATTCCCCCTATTTCCTCTGACCTCTCTCCTCAGTCCAGATACTTCGCGCATCTACGTGGCTCTGGGTTATGGTTTTTTCTTGGAGTTAACACTCGCAGAAGCCCTCAAGTTCATTGATCGTAAGAGCTCTCTCCTCACAGAGTAAGTTCATTCCGGGAGGACAGTATCTAAAAGCACCACCATTGACCAGGGGTGTAACTCAGTGGTAGAACACTTGCATACCACACATAAGGCCGCGGGTTCTATCCCCAACACCACACACAAATATACATAGTAAAAATCACCATTTTCAACACTGTTCTTCCTTTTCCATGGCTTCCTGGGATGGTACTTCCTTCCTCCTCAAAGCTGAAGCTGAGAGTGGGGAATCAAAGCTCAGCCTCAGATGTAGCACATAATAAACATTCAGTAAATGGTCTTTGTATTGTTCATTCACACAGGCATTTATTGGGCATCTTCTGTATGGCAGGCTTTATGTTTGGCAGTGGGGATGCAGCAGGGAACAAGAGCAAAGAGTTCCTTAAAGGTTTACATTATAGAGGGCCTACAATATTATGCATACATATGTGCATACTTATAATTATGGTCAGATCTATAAAGTCTCAGCCTGTTAATCAGTAACAGTAAAACAAGTTATCTTTCACTTTACCTTTAGCTATTTTTCCTGCTCAATTACCATACTTTTACCACATTGACCTTCACAGTCTTCTTTTAAACATCACAAGAATGATCCCAGTCTAGGGCAAATGCAATGGATGTTCTCTCTCCAGCAGTGTTCTTCCTATGTAGCTTCCTTTCTTTCATTCAGGCCTTCTGTAACCTGCTTTTAAACTGGCAACTTCTGGTACTCTTTATTCCTCTCCTACTTTTTCTTTTTCCTTAGTATTTATCATCTTTTTTATTTTTTTTAAATATTTTTTTAGTTGTAGATGGATACAATACCTTTATCTTATTTATTTTTATGTGATACTGAGGATTGAACCCAGTGCCTCACACATGCTAGGCAAGCGCTCCCCCACTGAGACACAACCCCAGCCCTATCACCTCTTTTTTAACTATGTAATTTCTTTCTTTGTCATGTCAATCATCTCCTCCAGTTAGATTATAAACTTTATAAATGGAGAAATTTTGTCTATATCCCAGGTGACTAAAACAGTACACAGCATGGCATTGTGTTTGTTGAGTGAATTTAAAAGTGTATACTGGAAGAAAATTGAAGTGATGATCGAAGCAGATCTCTATGGGAACTGGTAGGGAATGTGTGGGCTCCAGGTAAATTTAGGTTTTCTGCAGGGAAGAGCAACTGGAGCATGGATGAGAGATTTCAAATGTAGGTAGAAAAGGCCCCCCCAGAGGAAGTGACATTTGAGTCATTTGGTTCAATGAACAAGCTGGGGGCTGGTTAGGAAAGAACATTCCTAACAAAGGAGACAGTGTGCCTGGCATGCTAGAGAAACTGCAAAGTGGGGTAAGCATGGCTCAGATGAAATGAGTGTGGGGGGCATTGATTATTATACTTAGATTAATAACATCTTAGAAGAGTAATACTACTTGGTTTAAAATCCCTTCTTGGTTATGTTTATTCCTATATTCATTTCTTCTAGTGTTGCCTCCATTAGGGTTCAGTAATTGTTCTCTTTTCAAACTTTTCCAGGGTTTCAGTGTTAGTAAACTTGGGACCTGCTGAGATTTCTAAATCTTGGTTATCAGATCAATTAGCAAATAGCCTGACCAGGGGGCTTGCTTTCATGGTCAATGCAATTCTAAACAGTTGATCTTTTAGATGAAGTCCAGTTTTTATAACAAAGCTTTCCTTCTATGTGAGGATTCTTGAGCCTTTTAAATAGATTTTATTTTTTGTGTGTGTGTGTGTGTGTGTGTGGTGCTGGGGATTGAACCCAGGGCCTTGTGCATGTGAGGTGAGCACTCTACCAACTGAGCTATATCACCAGCCCAGATTTTAATTTTTTGAGAATCTATGTCTGTCCCCAGAATGAGTTATTTAAATTGTCAATGTCTGCCCCCTTGCCTGGTATTGTGTTTTGTTTTGTTTTGTTTTCTCTACTGGAGATTGAACCCTAGGCCTCATTCATTACTAGGCAAACACTCTGCCACTGAGCTACATCCCAAGGCCTTGGCTGATCTTGATATATTGCCTGGTTTATTAGTGTGATGAAAAAATGTGGTTGAAAGGCTGAGCACAGTGGTGCATGCCTGTAATTCCACTGATCAGGTGGAGTACAAGTTCGAGGCCAACCTGAACAACTGTCTCAAAATAAAAAGGACTGGGGATGTAGCTCAGTGGTAGAGCACCCCTAGGTTCAATCCCTAGTACTAGGGAAAAAAAAAAACATTAAGAGAAAGAAAAGTAAAACAAGTGTGATTGACTTTCATATTACTTTATTATGATTAGTAGACCTTTCTAAAGATTTAATCTTTTTAGAAAATGGGGATTTAAGTCTGGGTAGCCCTCCTCTTTAAAATACTTGGCTACTTGGGGCACATTTCAAACTGCCAGTTCTTCCTGAATCAGTAGTAGCAGAGCAAATGTTCCTTTTGTGTACAACTAGCATTTGATGAGCTTTATATTTTTCTTCCCCCACCCTGAACCCACTACCCTTTTTTTTGGTGTTGGGGACCAAACTCAGGGTCTTACACATGCTAAACACATGCTCTACCACAGAGCCACCTAGCCATCTCCTTTCTTCTTGAGTGAACGCATAGCTTTTCATAGACAAGCTTGTATCATTATCTGATTTTGTCCTCTTTTAAAAAAAATATTTATTTTTTAGTTTTAGGTAGATACAATATATTTTATTTTTATAAAATAAAATAGGATCAAACCTAAGTGCCTCACATGTGCTAGGCAAGCACTCTACCACTTGAGCCACAACCCCAGCCCCACAATTTTGTCCTCTTTTGAAGTTCAAATTGTCCTGAGGAGCAGATTAAGTTCATTCCTCTGTTCTTTGAGTACTACCTCAGATATTCATTTTTTTGTAGATGGATACAATATCTTTATTTTATTTGCTTATTTTTATGTGGTGCTCACACATGCCAGGCAAGCACTCTACCATTGAGCCACAACCCCAGACTTCCCTAAATATTCTTGCTCTCTAACCTAAACCTTAAAGCAACCATCTTTTGAGGACTTTAGGTCCTTTGAGTCAAGTAGTCTTTCACTTAATTCATTCAACATCCATTAGTTGCCTACTCTATGCCATATGCTGTTCTGATTCTCAGGAATATAGCAGGGAACACAACAGACCGAAATCATTGCCTTTGCATAGCCAGTGTTCTAGTGAAGGGAAACAGACAGTAAATAAGTAAATAACATTGCATGGTAGATGTTGTGGTGTTAGAGAAAGAGCATGTATAGAGATTGAAAACATTGCTTGTGATAGAGCAACTGTGATTTTAAATAAAATGATTTCTGGGATCTGGGTTGTGAGAAAAGAATCCTTTGGCGGGGGGTACTGGGGATTGAACTCAGGGGAGCTCAACCACTGAGCCACATCCCCAGCCCTATTTTGTAATTTTTTTTAAAAAAGAGAGAGAATTTTTTTAATATTTATTTTTTAGTTTTCGGTGGACACAACATCTTTATTTTATTTTTATTTGGAGCTGAGGATCGAACCCAGTGCCCTGCGTATGCCAGGCAAGTGCGCTACCGCTTGAACCACATCCCCAGCCCCTATTTTGTATTTTATTTAAAGACAATGCCTTGGGCTGGGGATATAACTCAGTTGGTAGAGTGCTTGCCTTGCATGCCCAAGGCCCTGGGTTCAATTCCCAGCACACACACAAAAAAAAACAGGGCCTCACTGAGTTTCTTAGCGCTTGTGAGGCTGACTTTGAACTTGTGATCTTCCTGCTTCAGCCTCCTGAGTGACTGCAATTCCAAGTGTGTGCCTCTGTGCCCAGCAAAAAGAGGAATCTTGGGGCTGGGGATGTAGCTCAGTGGTAGAGTGCTTGCCTAGTATGCAGAAGCCCTAGGTTAAACTCATCACCAAAAAGGGGAAGGGGAGGAGAATCTACATTTTTGCTGAGCAACTGGAAGGATGGAGTTGCCATTACCTGAGATGGAGAAGACAGGAAGAGCAGATTGGGAGGGCTAGGTCAGGAGTTCTGTATAGGACTTGGGATGTATGTGGTGTTTATTAAACACTGGAGTTTTTTGAAGTAGTTAAAAACTCCCAGGTCAAGTTCAGGAGAGAAGTCTGGGCTTGCAATATAAATTTGGGAGATACAGGTATATAGTTGGATTCATACTATTTTTTCCAACTTAACACCCTATCTTGCTGCTCTCTGTTTTTTGCACAGAATATAGTTTCATTTATCTTTCAAACCGACTTCTATATTGACAGGTAGCTCAGCACAATAAAACCTGCATTCCTTATGCTATCGTGATCCAGTGTGATCTAGTCTGTTCTTACCTCTTGGACCTTATCTTAATCTACCTCCCTTCATCATTCACTTTATTTTTAACACTGACCTCCTGGCTCCTCCTCAAAAGGCTCTTTCCTGCTTCTTGGCCTTTCTGTGGAAGAGACCCTCTTACTACTTAATTCTTACTCCATCTAACTCATTCTCATTCTTCAGAAACTGTTCCTTGACCCTTTGTATCCACTAGGATTCTTTTAGATGAGACCTGATCCAAACTGGCTTAGACAAAAAGAATTGACTAGTTTATATAACTCAACAGCCCAGGGCTAGGGTGGTTTTAGGCAACTCCAGCTTCTTAGTTGTTTAAGCCATGACCCCTTTCTCACATCTGACATCCAACACTTTGGCAAACTGCTTCGACCTTCAAAATATATCCAAATCCAATCATTTCTCATGACCTGCTATTATTACTACATCCCCCATCTCTCAACTGGAATAAACAAACACACACACATACACTTTTTTCCCTGTGGTACTGGAGATTGAACACAGGGCCTCACATGTGCTAGGTAAGTGCTCTACCACAGAGCAACATCCCTAGCCCTTTTTTAAAAAATTTTGAGACAGGGTCTGGATAAGTTGCCCAGGCTTACCTCAAACCTGTGATCCTCCTGCCTCAGTTTCCTGAGTAGCTGGGATTACAGGCAAGTACCACCATGCCCCATTTCAACTGGGCTAATGCAGTATCCTCCTCACTGGATTTCCTACTTCCATGTTAATTCTCCTTGTCCTCAGTCACTTAGCTCAGCAGCCAGATGGAGCCTATTAAACTCCAGTTATTCTGCCTCCCTCTTCTGTTCAATCCTCCATGGTACCCATATCACTTAGCATCAGGTCTTTACCATGGCCTTGTAAGTTTTATAGAATTTGCATCCCTCATTTTCTCACCTCTAACAATCTTATTTGGCTTACTCTTTTCCAGTGCCTATGGCCCCCTGCAATACCTCAAACATCAGTCACACTCCACCATAGTGCCTTCATATTGGCCATTGAGTCTGTGGAACACTTATCCTCTATGAAGCCACACTATTCACTTCTTCACTTACTTTATGCTTTACTCAAATGCTTCTCAGTGAAGCCATCCCTGAGTATTCTGGGATGTTTAAAATTGCAGGCCCCATCCCCTATTTCTTATCATCCCCCTCCCTCATTGTTTAAGTTTTTTTCTATCATTTATTGTCTATCCCTTCTTAGCAAGAATTTGAGCTCCCTGAGCCCAGGATTTTTGTTCATTGTGTTTGCATCATCTCCCCAGTGCTTAAAACTGTTTGGCATGCAGTAGGTATTAAGTAGTCTTTGAAACAGTAAAGTCCAGACACAGCCAACCAAATCTCCATAGGAGCAGGTGGAGCAAAAGTTAACCAGGATGTAGATAGTTCTTGATACAATGAGGAATGTTTATCCTCATAATGATAAGTGGGGCCCAATTTGCCCTTTCTTGTTTGTTTTCTCCAGGCTCAGCAACAGCCTCACCAAGGACTCCATGAATATCAAGGCCCATATCCACATGTTGCTAGAGGTGAGAGCAGCTCACTCCACTCCCAGACTATCCCCAGATTTATTTTGAGTGGTGACCTAAAGAAGGCAAGGAGCATCTTTCCCTCTAAACTGGAGCCAAGGGAGGGGAAGTCAGAGCAAAGGTGGGGTGGGACCTGAACCCAGCCCCTGTTCAGTCTCTTCTGTCCTCTTTTGCAGGGACTTAGAGAACTACAAGGCCTGCAGAATTTCCCAGAGACTCCTCGCCAGTGACTACTTCTCTCCATCCTCCAACATTAAAGAGCCTGAATGCCTTTGAGTCACATGGCCCTTCTTTTTCCCTTAACCCCTGCTGGTTGCCAAGGTGACCTTTGTGTAGAGCACTAAGTTACTGGGAGACCCAGTGGTCCAGTCTCAGTGTGAAACCTCTAAAGCACCCTGAAAGTCCTACTGTAGTATTTGCCACTTGATTCTATGCTCTTCCCTCCTTTCTCAGCTTGGTAACCTGGACCCTCCCCTCACCCTTCATTCCTTTTCCAGGACACCACCCTTTGAACTGCCATAGAGAATGGGCCTATTCAGCCTCTTCCTCCTTGTCCTAAGGTTTATCCCTCTCCTGTACCCCAGCTGTTCCTCCAGTACCCTAAATAACACCCTGTGCCCTTCTTAGCTCAACCTTAGCCTCACCCCTGCTTCTAAATGGATCCAGCTCCACCAATAGGCACAGATCCCACCCTCCCTAGTCCAGCCCCTAATCTAGGTTAGGTCCAGCTAACCCCCCAATCAACCAAGAGCCAGGTTCCACCCTCTTATAAATCTGGACATGACTGGAGCCTGCCCTCCTGCTAGCCGTTTAATTTCTGCCACTCAACGATCCTTTGCATGTCTGCCAGCTATCCCGCCTTCCTACCTCTGCTGCGGTCTAAATACGACTTTTCTAGCCAATCGCTGTAGAGTTACCCTGCCCGCCTACGCAGAGCCAGACCCAACCCTCTCTTTGCTGGCTTCTACGCCCTTTTCTATATAAGTCCTGCTTCCGCTGAGCGGCGTGGCGTGCAGCGCCGCCTGTTCGGTGTTTTGGCAGCTGTCTAGGAGTCTCATCCGCCAATCAGATGAATATCAGACCCACCCACTTTAGGCTGTCTGCCATCTATCCCCTTTAGGCCAATCAACGTGAGGCTGGCTCCCATGGGTCTTGTCAATTGCCCATGATCTATCAGTCTTGAGCCAATCAGCACGAAGTACCAGCGAGGCCAAACGCGTCTTCTCAGGACTCAAACGGCAGTCTGCTGTCAATCATTGGCCTTTCAGCCAATCACAGCATAGACTTCTGAGGTAGAGCCCGCCTCTCCAAGCAAAGAAGCTGTGCAGTAGAGCTGTGGTTCTTTGGCCAATCAGCGAGCGGCGGGACGCCTGTCTCCTCCCCCATGGGCCCACGTGAGCCGTGGGGAAAGGCAGGGGCGGCTTCTAGGTGCTGCCGCCACCGCCGCTGCCGCCGCCACCGCCGCCGCCGCCTCAGATCCCGGGCCTGGGGGGCGGTGGGGCCGCGTATGGAGCCCCCGCCCCCCGGAGCTGCTAACAACGCCGCCGCACCACGCACAGGTGAGCCCTGGGCCTGGAGGGTGGAGGGCCCAGTCCGTGACCCCACGTATCCTTCCCGCCCCCGCGCGGAGGATGTGGCTTGGCCGGTGGCCTGCTGGTGTTCGACTCCCTACCACCAAGGCTGGTGGACCTATGTGTGGCATTGCCCCCTTATAGTGGATCTGACTGTGGCCTAGACGCCCTCTCCTGCTAGTATAATGGCTCAGTCTGCGTGCTTATGTTTCTCCCCATCCCAACTTACAGTGGACTCGTCCATGCTCTTACCCCCCCCACCCCCCACTTACTGGGAACCAGTCTGTGGCTTGTTGAACCCCCTTAATAGTAGATGGCGTCTAAGTGTATTTCTCTTAGCCTTAACTTTTCAGGGGTCCTGTCTGTGGCCCTGTTTATTCCATCTCTCCTGTCCTTATAGCAAATCAGTCCCTGGTGCCATACCCCATACACACACACCCCTCTTTCCATCTGACCTTATATTCCTGGTTCCTCCAACCTCCAGTGCATCAGTCCATGGCTTTATCCAAATCCCTAATTTTATAGTTGATCAGTCTGCATGCTTATATTCACATCTCCCTAGTTATCAGACCATTGCCCTATCAGTCCATTGCTCCTTCTTTATTTGTAGACTCCAGTTATTGGGCTTCTCTCTTCTTTTTAATAGTGGATCAGTAGCCCAGTCTATGCCCTGTCCGTCTCTCCTTTTAATCACTGTGTGATGTCTTTTCCTTTCCTCCACTGTTGTATAGGAGTCAGTGAACTTTTCTGTTTCCTTCCTTCCCAAAAGATTAACCACGTCCCCCTCCCTTTGTAGTGAATGTGTTCATTGGGTTTCCTGTAAACCCTATGTTTTCATTCACACAAACTCTCCATATCTTCCCAGTTCTTTTAATTTCTCCTTCAAGAGGGTCAGCCTGTAGATTTTTATTTCTCTTCTCATTCCTTGTGCTGGATCAGTCTGTGATCCTCCCTGTCCTTTACCTCTTAGTAGATAAGCCTGAGTACTTGTTGAACCCAGAGCTTTTTAGTGTACATTGCACTCCCTCATAGACACTGTTAACCACCAAGACATCCTTCCTCACTGTGGATACATTAGTGATATTGATGATAATGCCAATAGGAGCTTAATGTTCATTGAGTACCTGCTATGTACCAGGCAAAGTGCTTTATATTCACAAACTCATTTAATCCTCATCACTGCCCTGTGAGATAGGTACTGAGAAAACTGGAACACAGAGAGGTTAAGTACCTTACTCAAAAGTATTTCAGGGGCTGTGGTTGTGGCTCAGTGGTAGAGTGCTTACCTAGCACTGGGTTCGATCCTCAGAACCACATAAAAATAAATAAAATAAAGTATGTCCATCTACAATTAAAATATTTTTTAAAGGTGTTCCAATAAGTACTCAGGGTACAGGATGTAGTTTGAGGTTCACCTCTCATCTAATCCCATCCCACAAGAAGCCCCGCATTAGTTTCCATCTCCATGGTTTTGTTTTCTCTGTTCCCTGTGCCCTCAGAGCTGTTTCTGTTTCACACCTGGTCTTAGCACCCACCCACCCCCAATACCAGCAACAGTGTGACCTTAGATAAATGACTTAACCACTTTCTCCTTGCACCTGTTTCCTTATTTCTAAAACAGGAGAGTCATGTAAAGAAAGAATACCTGTTCTGGGCATGGTGGCACATGTCTATAATCCCAGTGGCCCAGGAGGCTGAGGCAGGAAGATTGCCAGTTCAAAAAGCCAGCCTCAGCAATTTAGGAAGGCCCTCAGCCACTTAGTAAGATCCTGTCTCAAAATAAAAAATAAAATAAAGGACTGGGGATGTGGCTCAGTGATTAAGTGACTCTAGGTTGAATCCCTAGTACAAAAAAAAAAAAAAGAAAGAAAGAAAGAAGCCCGGTGCACACACCTGTAATCCCACTGGCTCCAGAGACTGAGGCAGGAGGATTTCAAGTTCAAAGCCAGCCTCATCAACAGTAAGGTGCTAAGCAATTCAGTGAAATCTGTCTCTAAATAAAATAAAAATAGGGCTGGGGGTGTGGCTTGGTTGTTGAATGCCTCTGGGTTCCATCCCTGGCACCCCCCCCCCAAAAAAAAAGAATACCTGTGAGTTACTAAAACAAGTCACCTCTTCAGCTTTGCCCCCATCACCTCCCTGTCCTGTAACTGCACCAGCCATGTATGCTTCCCCGTCACTGTTCCTTAAACCAGCAGGAACAATCAGCCTCAGGACCTTTGCATTGGCTGTTCTTTCTGCCCCAATACATTTGCATCCAGGGTGCTGTTCTGTTGCCAACCCTGAAAGAATGTGTTCACCACACTGTGGTGCAGGGAACATACTATGTAAAGACACACGTATGATATTTCCACGAATATCAGTTGATTTGTGAATAAGGCAAATGTTATTTTATCAAAAGCATGTGTTCACAGAAGTGTATGTAATATGCTTTATAAAGGCACAGATAGAAAAGATGTTTCTAAGAGACTTCATTTCATTGCATCTGGGTAGTGTTATTTCAGTAAAGCATGTGTTTGTCACACTGTGGTGCTTGAAATACACTATATAAAGGCACACATATAAAAAATGTTTCGAAGCATGCTGTTTATGTAAAAATAAAGTGAACATCTCCCTGACCATCTGATCCTTCACACCCAGCAGGACTATGGCCCCTGCCCTGCTTTGTTTGTCCCTTTGCCCTCTATCACTGTCTGACATACTGCAGTTTGTATATTGTCTGTCTATCCTCATTAGAATGGGAGTCCCGTGAGGACTTAGAGGTTTTATTTGCTTATTCACTACTCTGTCTTCCACACCTAAAAAATGTACCTGGTATACAGTAGGTACTCAAGATAGATTTGTTACGTGAATAAATAGGGAAATATTATCATTCAGACATCAGCATGTGGAGCAGATGGAGAAGAAAGGATATGTAGCTAATTAAGATGTTAGTTAAAGCCAGGGAACCAGGCATGGTGGTGCAAGCCTATAATCCCAGCTACATGCTTGTAATCTCAGTAATTTGGGAGGTCGAGGCAAGAGGATCACAAAGTCAAGGTCAGCCTGGACGACTTAGTGAGACCATGTCTCAAAACAAAATTCTTAAAAAGGGCTGGGAATATAGCTCATTGGGAGACTGAGGATATAGCTCAGTGATAGTGTGTTTGCCTAACATGTGCAAGGCCCTGGGTTCAATCTCCAATCCACACATACACAAACACACACACACACACTAAAGTTGGGGACTGTTCAAATATTTACTGAGCACCTGGTACTGAATACCAGGCATTCTTCCAAGTGCTTGAGATGTGGGGGGAACAAAATAGGCAGAAATTCCTGCCCTTTTTGAACATTTATTATTAAAAGAGAGGGAGCCAGATTATATAAACAAAATAAGTAAAAATGAGATAGTATGTTAAACAGGTGCTAAGTAGAAAAATTATGGCAGATAGGAATAGAGTATTGAAATGGTTGAAATCTTTGGCACAGGGCAAGGCCACACTTGGAAAGATAAATGTTGAATTGAGGCCTGAAAGAAATTAGGGAGGGAACCATATCAGGGAAATTAGGGAAGAGCCATTGCAAAAGCTCTGAGGTGGAATTTTGCCTGCCATATAGAAAGAACATCAAGGAAGCCATTATGGCTGTAGAAGAGTGGGGGGAGGAATAGAAGCTGAAGTCACAGAGGTGAGGGCAGCCAGATGGTCTGTAGTGGTATAGGCCACGTTGATATGTAGGATTGGGGGGGGGGGCGGGGAGATGCTGACACTCTAATGATTTACATTTTTGAGTGTCTGCCATGTGCCAGAGACATGTTTTTAAGCCCTTCATGTATATTAACATTTAACCCTCATAAAAGCCCTTGAGGTAGATGATTTTTTGAGAATATTTAACTCTGTGAGTAAAATATCCCCATTTTACAGATGAGCAACCTGGTACAGAGAGGCTGAGTGCTTGCTCAAAGCCACACGGACAGAACAGGGCAGACGAACATGAGACTGTTCTCCAAAGAGGAGATTTGCAAGAGTAGCCAGGTTATTTGATGTATTGGTTCATTTAGAAGAAGAATGAATTCTGCCTGGTAGGTCCTGGAACATGATGGTTGTGTCATGAAGAGTTCATCAGTGGAAGGAATGGCCCCTGGCAGGGAGAAGAGCATGAATGTATTTTCAGAGGTGAGAACGCTCCTGAGAACTGTGGCCACCTTGGAGCCTTTGTACACACTGTCCCTCTGTTGCAAGTACCTTTCCTACAGATGTCAGCATGGCTTGCTACCTCCCTTCCTCAAGGAAGCCCTCCCTGCTCACTCTATGTAGGACAGCATCCTTGTTACCCTCTAGGATCCTACCCTTCTGTGTTTCTCTTCAGGGGAAGTGAGGGTGAAGGGTGGCTAGAGTTGCTTGCTGGAGCCAGTCCACCTGGGTTTGAATCCAGGCTCTGCCACATTCCAGCTGTGCGACTTGGGGCAATTTACTTATCTTCTCTGTACCTCCATTGCCTCATCTGGAAAATGGAGGAAATAATAATATCTACCCTTTAGTGTTTTGAAGACTAAATAAGTCAAATGATTAAAACAGTGCATTGCACAGTAAGGGCAGTATGACTGGTTTGCATTTTAAAATTAGTATTTATAGCACACACATAGGTGTCTAATGGGCTTCTGAAACTCCAAAACGAGACTTCTGCTCTTCCCTCAAAACTTATCTCACTGGGTGTGGTGGTACACTCCTGTAATCCCAGTGGTTTTGGAGGCTGAGGCAGGAGGATCTCAAGTTCAAAGCCAGCCTCAGCAATGGTGAGGTCCTGAGCAGCTTAGCAAGACCCTGTCTCTAAATAAAATATTTTAAAAGGGCTGGGAATGTGACTCAATGATTAGGCACCACAGTACCAAAAAAAGAAAAATATTACCCCCCCACACAGTTCTCCCCTCTTAGTTGATCATGATGCTATCCTCCCTGGTGATCAGGTCACAAACCAAGAGTCACCCTTGACTCCTCTCTCTCTCTCACCCCCACCCCCATCCCATGCTACTTGTCAGCACATCTGTTTGCTGTCTTCAGATTTTAGCCAGAACCCTGCCACTTCTCAGCACTTCGACTGCCACCACCATTGTCTCTGCTTGGACTATTGCAGTAGCCCCTTTACTCATGGTCTATTGTCTTCAAAACAGCAAGAGAGATCCTGTTAAAATCCAAGTCACAGCCTGTCAAACACTTCTATTCAACCCTCTCCTGGCTCCTGTCTCACCCAGAAACCAAGTCCTGACAGTGCCCAAAAAAGCCTCACTCAGTCTGGCCCCCAGCACCCTTCTGTTCTCATTTCATACTGCCTCCCTTGACCTCATGCCCTTCCACTGAACTGGCTTCATTTCTCTCTAGCCTGTCCTGCGCTCCAGTTTCAGAGTCTTCCACCCTGGCTGCTCCCATTTATATACAAGCCCCACTCTTTTACCTCCTTTGTGTCTTTGCTCAGGTGCCAGCCACCTCCTCAGTGCCCTGTCCTCTCTGACTGTCCTTGGAAAAAATAACAGCTCCTTTCCTGCCTGATGTTTTCCACCATAGCCCTTATCACCATATACCATTCTATACTTATTTGCCTTATTTCTTCTTTTGTCTGCCCCACTAAAATGTGAATCCCACTGGAGCTGACATCCATGGCCCATAGTAGGCACTCAGTATATGCTTGCTAAATGAATGAGATGAAGAAAAGTAAACCCAGCTGGGTAAGGCAGATTACTAGAACTCCTGGTTGTTTTGCAGTGCTGGGGAGGGAACCCAGGGCCTCACACATACGAGGTAAGTGCTCCATCACTGAGCTGCAACCCCAGCCCTACTAGAAATCTTATTAGGGGTTGGGTGGGAGAAGTGATAATAAGCAAAACTCAGTCCTGCGTGCTGTTAAGACTGTCAGATTTCACTTAGCTGCTATAGGTTCTGCCGCAGCACAGAGGAACTGGCACAATTGCCTCTCTTCATCACCAGGGGGCACCCTGAACTTTCTGGGCTTCTGAAACAAGCAGCCTTCGAGATAAACTCAGTGAGGTCTCTAATCTGGCACTCAGGCCTTTGTGACACTTGCCTAAGACTTTGTGAACTGAATGGACTTCAAACTAGCTCAGGAGTAAGAGGATCACATTGTATATTTTGCAGATTAAAGAATGAAGCTGTAAATAATAGATGGAGGCTCTTTGAAACCTTCCGATTTAGGTTTATTCTTAATCCAACCATCCCAGGCAGTTGGACCGTTGATTGATTAAAGTTCATTCCCTTGGAAAACAGGAGGCTCGTGTTTATTTTCAATTTTTTGTCAGGAAAGAGCAGTGATGGAGTGACAGGGAGGAGCCTGTTGTCTGAGGGACATACTAAGAGGTAGTAGTTAAGTGTGAGGGGAAGTTTAGCCTGATGGTTAAAAGCTTAGATCACTGGAACCCAACTGCCTGGGTCCAAATGGCTGGCTCTGCCACTTACAGCTGGGTGGCCTGTGGAAGTCACGTAGACATCTTGTGCCTCAGCTGCCTCATCTATAAATTAGTGATAATCAGGATAGCTACTTTCCAGTGTTGTGATGAGGGATAAATGAGTCAATGTGTATAAAAATAACAATATAGGTCTACATTCCCTTATGCAAAACCCCTGGGGCCAGGTGTATTTCAGAACTGCGAATTTTTCAGATTTGAGAAAGGTAACATGGTGCACATATGATGTGTTACATAACACCCTCAGCAAGCTCTGTCATCAGCTGCGTTCATATTTCTGCAGCAGAATGTATGAACATTCACACTGAGTAAGGATTGATAAAGACCAGAAAGGGCCTTGTTTTGTTTTAAATCAGTTTTTGCTGTCAAAAGACTTACAAAGAAGCTTTCTGTTTTTAGAGCTTTTTGAATTGAAGATAGTGGATAAGAAATTATGAATAAATAAGAAACAAATATTTAGCATTTGGCATACCCCAAGCATATTATATTTAATCCACACAATAGTTAATAATTACTCCTATTTTAGGGGTTGGCATGTCATTATCCTTATTTGATCAGTGAGAAAATTTGAAGTACAAAAAAGTTACAGAATAGGCCAAGGGTCACACAGCTAATAAGTTGCAGACCCAGCATCTGGAACCTGACTAGTCTGGCTGGAGCCTGGGTGATTGTCCAGTAGGCCACATTGCCTGTCTGTTAGAGCAGTGCCTGGCATGTACTAAGCAGTCAGTCAATGTTAGTTACTGCTATAATCAAGAAGGAGAACTGCTGGGGGTAGATTGTGTGTTTATCATGCACAGGACCCTGGAATCATTCCCCAGTACCAACAAAAACAGAAAATATACAAGAATAGTCACAGGTCAGAAGACTAGGGGATAAAACAACAGAGGAGAGTGGGCATTCAGTTTCAGGATGTCTTCATAAAGGAAAATACCTTTACGCCAAGACTTTAAAAATGAGGAAGACTGCTAAGCAGAGGAAGGGATCCCCACATGCATGAACAGTATTTGCAGGGACTGGTAAAAGGTACCTCCTGAAAAGCTTGACATCTATGTGGTAGAAAGTACAGATGTTGGGGGTCAAGTGAGGGGGGTTGTACTGGTTTTCTAGTCCTACTGTAAACTTAGCTACTTAAAACAGTGTATTTATTATCTCAAGTTCTATAGGTCAGAAATTTAACACTGGTCTCACCAGGCTAAAATCAAGGTGTGAGTAGGACTGTGGTCCATTCTGGAGGCAATAGGAGAGAGAATTATTTCCTATTCATTCAGGTTGTTTGCAGAATTCTATTCCTCAAGTTGTAGGAATGGAAGTCCCTGTTTCCTTACTGGCTGTCAGCTAAGGACTGTTTCAGCTTTAAGAGGCTGGCTGCCCACATTCCTTGGCTGGGAGCCCCCTTCTTCCATTTTCAGAGTCAAAATGGCAGGTTGAATCCCACTCACACTTGAGATCTCTCCATCCCAAGAGATGGCATCCCATTTCTGAGTTCTCTTTCTGCTTCCTTCTACTCATATAATTAAATTGAGCTCATTCAAATAAACCATAATAATCTCCCTATCTTAAAATCTCTAACTTTAATTTCATATCAGAGTTCCTTTTTGCTATGTAGCATAACATACAGCTTCTAGGGATTCAGATATGGACATCTTTGGGCCCAAGTGGCATTTTTCTGCCAAACATGGTCTTCCTTCTGACCCCCAAAGATTTGCATTTATTGTACATATAAAATACATTTATACCATCCTCAAATTCTCATTCTGTTACAGGAGGCATCCAAAGCTAGACTGGGGAGCTTAGACATTTGAGGATATTTAGGGAAGGGTGATGGGGTTTGGGGACAGGTAGAGACAAGACAATAAGGAAGGAATTCTCTTCCTGTCCTGTACCCCCTTCTCTGTCTACAGCCTCTCAGCTCTGAGCTATTTGTCCTCCAGGTACCTCTGGGATGGCGTGAGCGCTTCCCCAGCGATGGACCCATCTGTGACGCTGTGGCAGTTTCTGCTGCAGCTTTTGAGAGAGCAAGGCAATGGCCACATCATCTCCTGGACTTCACGGGATGGTGGTGAGTTCAAGCTGGTGGACGCAGAGGAGGTGGCCCGGCTATGGGGGCTGCGCAAGAACAAGACCAACATGAATTATGACAAGCTCAGCCGGGCCTTGCGGTACTACTATGACAAGGTATGCACTATGAGACCAGGGCAGGGACCCACTAAAATTTATAACAAATTTAATTTTCTTGTATCAGTTGCTATAGCAATAACTTTGAAAACAATATTAAAATATCATTTCTCATCCCCTCCTCTTGTATCCTCAGACTAAGGCTAGGCCCCCGAACATTTATCTCAGTTATTTTTTTTTTTTCGTGTCTTACTACTTTGCCTAAAACTTTTTTTTTTTTTTTTAGAGAGAGAATTTTTAATATTTATTTGTTTTAGTTTTCGGCGGACACAACATCTTTGTTGGTATGTGGTGCTGAGGATCGAACCCGGGGCTGCACACACGCCAGGCGAGCGCACTACCACTTGAGCCACATCCCCAGCCCCTGCCTAAAACTTTTATAGCAATATCAGTACTGACTCCTCCTCACCCTACTCTCTTGAGATCCCCAACGCAAAACTGTCCCACCATGCCCTGCCTGACATTTTGTTTTTGTGCCTTGTTCTTATTGCCCAAACTGGGAAAACACAATTATGACCAGTCCTTATTATGTCATTGAAACTCCTGGACCAGTGCTGGGCTTCCTTAGTTATTTCATAATCTTCTCTTACTCCAGAATATATCATAATCTTATTCCTAGAATCAAAATTATCCTGACAGGCTGGGCATAGTGGCATATGCCTGTAATCCTAGCTATATGGGAGGATAAGGCAAGAGGATCAGAAGTTCAAGGCCAGCCTGGGAGAATGAGTGGTACCGTCTCTCAATTTCTTTTTTAGTTGTAATTGGACACAGTACCTTTATTTTTATTTATTTATTTTTATGTGGTGCTGAGGATCGAACCCAGCACCTCGCACATGCTAGGCAAGTGCTCTACCACTGAGCCACAACCCCAACCCCTCTCTGGAAATTTTAAAAATAAAGGGGAAAGGTGGGCTGGGGATATAGTTTGGAGGTAGAGTGCCCCTGGGTTCAATCCCCAATACTGGGGAAAAAAACACACTGAAAGTATTACACTAACCTTTCTTCATTCTGTGGAACTCCCAATATATTTTAATTTTGTCAGTTATTTTTCTTTCTTCTCTATTCCTTTATCTAAAACCTCCAGAACAACAGGTATAATGTCAGTTCCACACTCCATACTCTTAGATTCCCAGAGCAGCATTGATCCACCCCAAAATTTGTATCAGTTTTTACATTCTATTATCCTATTCCTATAGCTACATTTTTAAGTTTTCCTTGACTGGTGTTCTCAGGCGCCAAGACCAGTGCTGGATTTCCCCTCCTTGCATTATTTGTACTAGTTATTTCATCTTATTTCCATACGTAAGTGAAACTTTCAAAAGAATATTAATAAAATCCCTTTTCCTTTCTCTCCTGAGAAATACAGCCCCACCCTGTTAAATACCTGAGTAACATTAAGACCTCCCCAGAAAGCACTAGTTCATCCAAATTCCGTGTGCTCCCCACAACAGCTGCAGACCTGGGCTTCACACCCTTAATAATTTTTGGCATTTCTTCCATTTTGTATCATATTCCTCTTGCTAAAACTTTCAAAACAATATTAAGAGACTACCTCATTCTATTCCAGTTCTGAGACCACCAGAACATCCCTGAGACATTCCAGACCAGATATGTCCCGAAATACCCCCAAACATGCTTAGAGACCTATCCCAGTCAGCCTTGAGAACTTCCTCCCAGTATTGATACCAATATCTCAATGTTCTCATCTAATTGCTTATCAGTTACTTCATTTTCTTATTCTTTAGCTTAAATCCCCATCACAGAATTCATAATGAGGCTTCACCCTATCCTCTGTAGTGACCTTGTCCTGTTCCTTATCTGTGTCTATAGCTCTTTTTTTATACCTTTATTTATTTATTTTTATGTGGTGCTAAGGATCGAACCCAGGGCCTCACACATGCTGGGCAGGTGCTGTACCGCTGAGCTACAACCCCAGCCCTATGTCTATAGCTTTAAATAATCCTATCAATAATTTATTACCTACATTCATCAACACTAATTTAGTCTCTTCCAACATTTATGTCAGTAGTCAGTTTCATGTCTTATTGCACAAGCAAGTTTCAAAAACTGTGTCCTGGCAGATAGCCCCAATACCCAACCCTATTATCCAGTGGTTCTTGGAGCCAGGAGGAACAGGTGGTTCTCATCTTTTCCCCTAAGTGAATCCCACTGTGAAATGGAGCCAGTGGGGGTAGGAGAGTTGGACAGGTAGAGAAGAAGAGTGACAGGGAGACTTGGAGGAAGAGCGATGGAAGGAGAATAAAGAAAGAATTGTGGAAGGGGAAATTGAAAAGGAGGAGAATCTGGGGAAGGATCCAGAGAGGGAAATCTGGGAAAGGATAACAAAGGAAGAAGCCCACATATTGAGGCAGGGATGAGCAAATTGGGAACAAGTGTGACAACCAGCTGTAATGGTACACACATGCCTGTAATCCCAGCAATTCAGGAGGCTGAGGCAGGAGGATCACAAGTTTGAGGCCAGCCTCAGCAGTTTATCAAGATCCCTAGCAACTTATTGAGAGCCTGTCTCAAAAGAAAAAAATAAATAAAGGATCAGCCATGTAGCTCAGTGACAAACACCCCTGGATTCAATACCCAGTACAAAAAAAAAAAAATGGGAGCAAGTGAGGAGGAGGATGCCAAGAGAAGAGTAACATCTCTCACACCTTCCCTGCACCCTAACCCTTTTTTCTAAAGTCCTCGGTTCTATCTCCTCCCTTCCCAGAATATCATCCGCAAAGTGAGTGGCCAGAAGTTTGTCTACAAGTTTGTGTCCTACCCCGAGGTTGCAAGGTGCTCCACAGAGGACTGCCTGCCCCAGGCCGAGGTATCTGTAGCCTCTGCCGTGGCAAATGTGGCCCCTGCTGCTGTACATGCTGCCCCCGGGGACACTGCCTCTGGAAAGCCAGGCACACCCAAGGGTGCAGGAATAGCAGGCCCAGGCGGTCTGGCACGCAGCAGCCGGAATGAGTACATGCGCTCCGGCCTCTACTCCACCTTCACCATCCAGTCCCTGCAGCCACAGCCACCCCCTCATCCTCGGCCAGCCTCCGTGCTTCCTAACACCACCCCTGCAGGAGCAGCAGCACCTCCCTCAGGGAGCAGGAGCACCAGTCCAAACCCCTTGGAGGCTTGTCTGGATGCAGAAGAGGCTGGCCTGCCTCTGCAGGTAAGTCCTGGAATATGGAAATGAAGTAAGGGCCAGGGAGACAAAGAGGATGGATGCACAGGTCTGAAATGAGAGGCAGGGCTGGTAGTGGAAGAGACATAGAAGTCCTGTTAAAGGGCATAATGGTGGAAGGAGTGACACAGAAGTGCTCTGGAGAAAAAAATGGGGAGAAGAGCTGTACAGATCCTAAAAAGGGAAGGGGAGAACAAGTGTGCAATAATTAGTTACCCAACATGTTGTAAGTGCTCAGTTGTATCATTGGTTTAGTGCACTGCTTCCCCGCCTTCAGTGCTCACCTGGATGACTTATTAAGCCACAGATCCACAATGGATCAACACCCAGAATTTCTGATTGATGTGGGCCTGGGGAGAGGTCCTGGAATTTTCTCTTTTTCTTTAATTTGTTTTATTTTTTGCTACTAGGGATTGGCCCTAGGGACGCTCTACCACTGAGCTACATCCCCAGTGCCTTTTTTATGTTTTTTTTTTTTTTTAATTTTGAGACGGAGTCTCAACTAAGTTGGTGAGGGTCTTACTGAGTAGCTGAGGCTAGCAGCTAACTTGCCATCCTCCTGCCTCAGCCTCCTGAGTTGCTGGTATTACTGGCATGTGCCATGTGTTCATCTAAAATTTGCATTTTAATGAATTTCCAAATGAGGAAGATGCTGCTACTCTGTAAAATAATTTTTTCCAACCATTGTTCTCCTAACTGAGGGTGGTATCCTCTTGAGTCTTACCCCCATCAGGTTGTCTCACCTTGGGTCCTCTGCCCCACTTCCATGAAGAAATCCCATGGCCAGGCACTGTGGCGCATGTCTGTAATCCCAGTGGCTCAGGAGGCTGAATGGCAAGTTCAAAGTGCTGTTGCTGAGGCACTAAGCAATTCAGACCCTGTCTCTAAATAAAATACAAAATAGGACTGGGGATGTGACTCAGTGGTCGAGCATTCCTAAGTTCAATCCCCAGTACCAAAAAAAAGAAGTCCCATGACCTGTTAGAGAACCTACTATGATGTGCCTCCTTTACCAAATCTTGATTCCCAGGATACTCAATGGGTGGTCCACCAGAGAAGGGTTATCTACCCCAACAACCCTTCCACATGCACTTTGTGCTCATTCCTCTCCCAGGTCATCCTGACTCCGCCTGAGGCCCCAAACATGAAATCGGAAGAACTGAATGTGGAGCCAGGTTTGGGCCGGTCACTGCCCCCAGAGGTGAAAGTGGAAGGGCCCAAGGAAGACTTGGGAGCTGCAGGGGAGGTGGGGTTTGTGCCAGAAGCTGCCAAGGCTGGTCCCGAAGTCCCTCCTGCAGAGGGCATGCCAGCCCGGATGCCCGCTGTTGTTATGGAAACTACAGCACAGGTGGGTGGCCTTGCGGCCTCCACCACTGAAATCACCCAGCCACAAAAAGGCCGGAAGCCCCGGGACCTGGAGCTTCCACTCAGCCCAAGCCTGCTGGGTGGACCAGGACCCGAACGGACTCCAGGATCAGGAACTGGCTCTGGTGTGCAGGCACCAGGGCCAGCACTGACGCCATCCCTGCTACCTACGCATACATTGGTGAGTGTCTGCAGGGGCAGGGATGGCAGCCAGGATGGATGGGATTGGCTTGTGGCATGTGATTGACAGGAAATAGAGGAAAGTAAAGGAGGATGTCTTGGAAGAGGGTCAGGCCTTCCTGTGTAATTGGCTGTGCTGAGGCAAGGGCTGGAAGAATAGAGCTTGATCAAAGAAAGGCAGTTCTGGGGACTTTGTGGGTGGGGACTGAGGGGCCCAGAGTCTGTGGGATTTCAGAGTGGGGCTTTTTGCTTGTTGAGTTTACTTATTGAATTTGCTTATTGAGTTTCCTGTGATGGGAAGTAAGAGTGGGAAGGTGGACTGTTGGAATGGTGACTCTGAGGTTTGACAGCAGCATGTAAAGTCTGGTGGATGGTCTTGCCTAGTGAGTTCTCAGCAATTGGAGGTGTGCTCTCAGGAGTTGGGAGAGGGTAGATGTGTGAGAGTTGAAGAGATGTCATGGATGTGACCTCAGTAGTTGTATTCTGGGTCTGAACTTTTGAGGAGGGGCCATGAAAGTCTGAGTTGGAAATATATGGTGGGGCTGAGACCAGGTTCCTTCCATTTTCCCTCACCTACCTTCTACTCACTTGAGCTCTGACCATTCCTTTCCCTGCAGACCCCGGTGCTGCTGACGCCCAGCTCGCTGCCCCCCAGCATTCACTTCTGGAGCACCCTGAGTCCTATCGCACCCCGAAGCCCAGCCAAGCTCTCCTTCCAGGTAGAACACCCTCCCCCATCTTGGAGAGGGTAAGAGATGCTAGAATGGCCCCTGTTCATGACCTCTCCCTATTTCTGCTCCCAGTTTCCGTCCAGTGGCAGCGCCCAGGTGCACATCCCTTCCATCAGCGTGGATGGCCTCTCGACCCCCGTGGTGCTCTCCCCAGGGCCCCAGAAGCCATGACTACCGCCACCACCAACCCTTTCTGGGGTCACTCCATCTGTGACCCTGAACTTCTCTCCAGCCAGCCATCTCAAGGAGAAACATAGTTCAACTGACAGACTCAAGCTCTGGTTGTGATGGGGTGGGGAATTCCTGGGAAGAAGGATCTCTCACTAACTCCTTCACCGAAAACCTACAACTTCTCTCTTCTTCGTCAGTCCCCCAGTGGCCGCCCTTACACGTCTCCTACTTCAGTGGTAGGGGCGGTTTATTTATTTATTTTTTGAAGGCCACTGGGAGGAGCCTGGCCCAACCCTTTTAGGGGGGTGGTTAAGACATCTCCCCCATCTCCCTACTTTTTTTCCCTAAGACAAGACAATCGGGGTCTGGCTTGAGAAGGACTTTTCTTTATTTATTTCTCAGCCTGCCCTTGGGGAGATGAGGGAGCCCTGTCTCCATTTTGGGGTGTGGGTAGAAGAGCTAGTTTGCTTTGTTTTATTATTCCTGGCCATCCCAAGGGTTCAGGAAGAATTTATCCGCTTTAATGGTTTAGGAGTCTTGACCAAGAAAGGATCACACCCTGGAAAGAGGAATTTCCACCTCCCCAACCTTTCTCTCAGACAGCTTGTCCTTTATTCGACCAACATTGTGGCCAGGGAGGAACACCCTTTTATTGTTCTCTCCCCTGAGAAGCCATTCCTTTGTCTGCCAAACTCCCTGGGGTCCTGCCTGTTACCTCCCAATGGAGGGTTTTTTTCGGGGGTGGTCCCCGTCTGGGGGACCCCTCCAACCAGTACTCCAAGTCTCCCTGTCTTTCACCCCCTGCCATTTTGATAGTATAATCTATTTTTAAATGGGGCTTTTCAATAGGGGAGAGGGAGGCATCTCTTCCTATATCTGATGGGGTGGGTGGGTGGGAAGGAAGGGATTTGGGGGTGATCTTCATGCTGCCCCCAAGTGTTTATTTTTGATACCAAACGTATTTTCAGCTCCCTCCCTCCCAGCCCCCCAATTTCCTGCGGGCGGGTACAAAGGACCCTTTAAGTGTCCCTGGAGTTGGGAGGGAGGAACAGGGGACATAAAGCCTGTCTTGTCTCAATTCCAGGCTGGAGAGGGTGGGTTCAAAAGACACCTGAGCTCATCTCCTCTCAGCACCAGCCCAACCCAGGCCTGGGGATCTGGGGGTTGATTCGGGGACGGTGCTACACTCGTCTCCTCTGTTTGTTTTACTTCCCCAAAATGGACCTTTTTTTCTAAGAGTCCCAGAGAATGGGGAATTGTTCCTGTAAATATATATTTTTAAAGGTGTTGCTGGAGGCTGCTGGCATTTTTTTTCTCCAATTATCTTTGGGACAAGCTGAGTGTGACAAGTACGACTTTGTGTGAAGGGCAATGAGGTTGAGGCAGAGGTTAGTGGTGAGAGAAATAGTAATAGAGACTGCCAGTTGGTCACTGGGTGTGGCGAGAGAAACTGTGGAAAGTTGTGATAGTGTGTCGTGCATGTGAGAGAAAGCAGATGTGCGACCACAAACTTTTGACAGCATATCTATGAGAGCAATTGTGGCTACGTTTCAGAAACTCACTTTGAGACTGAATGAGTAAGATACTATACAAGAACCTATGACGGTATGTATGAGATACAGTTCAGGAGAAGGTAACAGGAACTGCAGATTGGTCACTGTTGGACACGCTGATGCTGAGCAAGTCAGAGTGAACAGAACCACATGTGAGAGACTATGTGGGCAGGAAAGTAGTGGTGAAGATCACCAGGGACCACATGTAGGTGAGAAACCTCACCTCGCCTATTTAGGCGACTTGATGTTTGAGAAATGGCTTTTATATGAAACTCTGTGAGGTCCAAGGGACAGCTAAAGCTGTAGGAGTGCACACACAAGAGTTGATTGTGTGAGAGAGTGGCTGTGAAGCCAAGAGGCCAGAAACCCAAGGTAGGAGAATGTGTGTGTGAAAATGTTTCATAGAGACTGTGGTCAAGACAGAAACAGAGGGTGGTGGTTTCCAGGATCATCTGAGAGGCTGTAATTGTGCGCATGTGTGTGTGAACCTAAGACTGGGGGCAGCTGGTTTACAATTAAGGCTGCAGCCTCTCCACAGGTTCTGGTGAGACTGAAGGACTGCAGTGATACCAGAGACCACAAAACTGTCTGAGAGAAAAGAGAAACTGTGTGTGAGAGAACAGCAATAACAAACACTGGAAGCCAGCGACTGTGGGAGAAAAACCTGACAACTGAGCAGTGTCTGAGAGTGTGTGAGTCTATGAAATATGTCATAAAACTAAATAAGAGACTGCATGTTTGTGTAAAAGCTGAGAAGTTGACACCAAGCCAATGAAACTACCGAGCAACCACATGATCAGTGTGCATGAGAAACTTGCAAGGCTGTAGTGTGGGCCTGTGTCTGATAAGCCAACTGTATGAAGAAAATGATGGTGTACATGTCTGCACAGGGCATGGGGGGATAATTGCGGGAGACTTATCAAGAGCCTAGTGGCCATTGTGAATTAATGGCTGCATGTATCAGAAGTGGCTGAATGGGTGGATGAGCCAGCATCTAAGGAACCAGTTTTGTGCATAGATAGGCAACTTTTTGTGAAAGACCTTTTTCAAGCCTGTGAACCAAGGACTCAGTGTGGTGGAAGCACCTTGAGAAGAAATGTGGGGTGTGGTGAGGGAGACAGTGTCTGAAGATGGTGATACTGTGTGCATGTGAGTCTTCCTGGAAGGCTGTAAGAGGCTACAATCAGGAACTGTGGGGGCGTGTGTAAGTGGCTTAAGTAAGAAGGGAGGGGAGAGATAGTGACTGTGTGTTCAAGAAAGTTCTTAGTGGTGACTGTAAATGAGTGACTATTTGTGTGAGAAAATGGCGAGGCAAATGAAATGGTTCATGTTGTGAGAGAGTGTGACTATCTTTGTGTATATGTGAAAAACTGGTGAGAGAAAATATTGGCGATATTGACCAAATGAGACAGGTTCTAAGATGTGATTGGGTGTGTTTGAAACTGCTAGCAGGAGACTGTCGTGGCACTAGGGATCAATGGTAGAGAAATGACTCCCTGAGTAAGTGACAATGTCTGAGTGTATGAGTATGTATGTGAACCTGTTCATAAGAGACTATAGTAGAAGCTGTACATCCAGCTTCTACACTGTGTGTGTATGTATGGGTAATAAAATAAAGCACAAGAGAAAATGAGACCAAATGAGAAAGTGTATGAGTGGTCATGGATGGAATGTACCAGACCTAAGAGGGGGGAAAAAAAAAAAAAAAACCTGCCTTTGTTTGGCCTCTTCCGCTACAGGCCTCTTCCGCTCAGTCCCCTCGTCTGGCTTTTCCCAGTTCTCCAAAACTTGAAATGCTGGGGTTCCCCTTGGTTTTGTCTGACACCCCCTTTTCCTCATGCATCTAGGTAGTCTTCTCTGGTCCCAGCACTTGACATAGGACTTTATCCCCCAAGATGACACCCAGATTTTTATCTCCAACTCATACTGTTTCTCTTAGCACTTACCAGAATCTCAGGTTTCATTTGTTTCATTTATTGATTTGCTCAGCAACCATTTATTGAGCATCTTCTGTTTGCTGGTACCCATCTGATTCCCTGCAGACCCAGCAGTTAACAAACCAGCCCAAACCCCCTGCCCGAGTGAAGCTAATATTCAGTGAGGGAGACTGACAAGAAACAGATAAATACATTATATCAGGCAGTAATGTGGTAATTAAATAAGACAAGTCTCTAGCTCTTTGCTTAAATAAGGAATCTGCCGAGTCATTTCAATGCCTAAACGTGTGTGGGAGAAAATGAAAGTGCCGACAGTTCTCATCCACAGGGAATCCTAAGTATTTATGCAGTTTAGGAACAAAGGAAATATCGATTATAACATTATTACCAGGGCAACAGGTGATTAAATAAAGCAGCCAGGCAGAATTGCAGGTTTCTTGGGGAGTTTGTTTTCACTGGGTAACACAGAACTGACAGTTGAAGTCTTAGAATCTTAACAAGACCCATTGTTCAAAGCAAACATTCAGAGACAGGCTTATATTCTCAGAGAACAGAGTACATCTGTAATGGATACAAATATTCACACACACCTTATCACCCAGAAAACAAGAGCAGTATTCTTGAGGAACTTGTTTTCAACACCTGACCAAATTCTTTTCTCTTGTTTTAATTTGTGGAATGGTATTCTTTCTCCATGAATGCAAGAGAAATTAGGCATTGCTTTGCTATCTTTATGCATATACATATACATACACACACACACATATATATATGAAATCTCCATCCATCCATATCCTTGCTGTCCTTTTATATATAGATAAGTTGTAGATGGACAGAATACTTTTTTTTTTAATTTTTCTGTGGTGCTGAGGATCAAACCCAGTACCTCACACATTCTAGGCAAACACTGTACTACTGAGCTACAAGCCCAGCCCCTGCCTTGCTATCTTAGGTTCCTTTCTTGTTAAAAAGATTATTTTTATACATTTTGTAGTGCTAGAGATGAAACCCAAGGCCTTGCATACACTGGCAAGTGCTATACTGCTGAGCTATATCCCCATCCCACAAGATTGTTGTTTTTGGAGTAGGCTCTGGAATTTGATTTGTTAGGGCTTATGAAAAACGAAAGTAGGGGCACAGTTTTACCTGCAAGGAAAATGGGCTGAAAAGAAGTTCATTATTAACAGTAAAAGAAAGCATGTAGGGGCTGGGGATGTGGCTCAAGTGGTAGCGCGCTCGCCTGGCATGTGTGTGGCCCGGGTTCGATCCTCAGCACCACATACAAAGATGTTATGTCCGCCAAAAACTAGAAAATAAATATTAAAAAATTCTCTCACACACTCTCTCTCTTTAAAAAAAGAAAAAGAAAGAAAGCATATAGAATTGTTTTCTCTAGATGAGACCCACAAAAATAAAGAAGGCTCAAGGGACCAGTGTGCTGGTTCTCAAAGTATGGCCCCCAGGGTCACCTAATGTGAAATGTGCATTTTTATTTTTATTTTTGGTACCAGGGATTGAACTCATGGGCACTTAATGACTGAGCCACGTCACCAGCCCTTTTTTTTTTTCAATATTTTTTAGTTGTAGTTGGACACAATATCTTTTTATTTATTTATTTATTTTTGTGTGGTGCTGAGGATGGAACCCAGGCCTCACACGCGCTAGGCACTCTACCACTGAGCCATAACCCCAGCCCTTTTTATATTTTATTTAGAGACAGGATCTCACTAAGTTGCTTAGGGCCTTGCTAAATTTCTGAGGCTGGTTTTAAATTAGTGATCCTCCTGCCTCAGCCTCCCAAGTCTCTGTGATTACAGGTGTGCACCACAGCACTCATTTAAAATGGCCATTCTTGAGCCCTACTCCACACCTGTGGAATCAGAAACTAGGATGGAACCCAGTGATCTGAAACTTTATCAAGCCCTTTGGGTGACTCAGATGCACACTGAAGTTTGAGAGTCACTGGACTGGAGAGTAACAGGAAGTTTCCAGGAAGGGTAGCTGGAAACAGCCACTGTGAAGGAGATGGTATTTATTGTCTGTCTCTCCTTTTAGAGTAGAAATCATGGGTGAGGATTTTTTTTCTGTCCTGCCCTCTGTTCCATATAATGCTAAGAACTATATCTGGCTTCCAATAGGTGTTCAATAAATGTTCAGTGAATCAACACAGCAAACACAGGACACCTCCTATATGCTAGGCACTGTTTTAAGGATTTCTAAATATCTTAACTCCCAATCTTCTCAACAAACCCACACAACTATGTCATAGGTGCTTTCTGTGTATACATTTTACCGAGGAGGAAGCAGGCAGGAGGAGTGGTACCTGCCCAAGGGTACTCTGATTAAACATGGCTCAGCTGATTTCCTCCTATTCACCCCTGCCCCAACCCCTGAAGGTGTCCTTAGCTGGGCCCCCAGGGCAGTGGATATCCCCAATTCCACCCTTTCTGAATCCTTCCCCACACCCTGCCACTTCCCCTTCTCACTTCCCTTGTTGTAACCTCCTCCCATATGCTGACCACAGGGAACCTCACTTTTAGGAAAGAGGAGGGTGGGGTTAAGTCAGGATGGAAGATGAAGCAATTGCCACCCATGAGGAGGGCCATTGTCATTTTACCCTTGTTTAACACCCCCATGAGTTTGACCCTATAGTGTGGTCAAGATTGTACATTTTACATACAGGGAAACAGACCCAGAGAGGTTGAAGTGACTTGTCCAAGGTCGCACATCAATAAGATTCATCCTGCTCTAAACGCTGAAGCTCCATTGCCTTTCATTAAGAACTTGTCCAAGAAGT